AAAAACTAAATTTTTAAATTTCTAACAATGCTCAGAAATAAATATCATTCTGAGTAATAACATAAAATATTTTCTTTTGAAAAATAGTTAATTTATGTCCAAACATGTATGTATGTATGTGCATATGTATTTTCGTATGTATACCACATTGAAAAGAAAAACAATAAGTACACTTAATAAATCCTTCAACCGACTTACAAAAACCATTATTTATTAAAACAAAACTGTAATATAAAAATTGAAATTAGCATGCATTGCTTTTTAAATGCTTTAGTTGAAACGTTCACCAAGGGCTTATTTGGGAGCAGCAAGGGAGCGCTACTTTCTAATGACACCCAATGTTAAAATACAATGAAGTATGAAATTAGAAAGGGAGCGCTCACTGCTGAATATGGAGTGCTCCAATAGCACTAATGGAGCGCTTCTGGCCCCGTTGGGTACACTTAATAAAACCATCAAATGGCTTACAAAAACGCCATTCTTTTATTAAAACAAAAATCTATATACATACATACATATGTACATATATAAAAATGGTGTGAAAAGTGTATAGTAATTCATCAATTGAGAACGGTTGGGCCGATTTGGCTAAGCATTTTTCTTAGTTGTTCTTAATTGCGAAGAGAAAGTTTTTACGAAAGAAAATTTTGGGAAAACCCTCCGGGAATGCCGGGAAATCGGAAAAATCGAAAATTGATTTTTTGTATGGAATCTTGTGTGCAATTCCTTCTGAAAGTCTTTCGAATGGGAAAATAGAAAATTCTAAGTGGAAAACTCGTAAAAATCCGTAAGAACGCGAAAATTTTTAATTGTATTTCGACGAAATTTTGCATTTTATCGCACGATTTTATGATTTTGGACGATGTAAGGGTGGCAAATTTGTTGTGAAGCTTGGAAAATTTCGGATAATTGTGAAATTCATTGTGAACATGAATCAATTGGGAACAATTTTCTCCTATGTTTCATTACCAATTCGAATGGTTGCTGCTGGTACACCTGGAAAGGTGTTTAGAAGGAGGAGTGCACAAAGTTTTAATTTTTTCGATAGGATCAATTTTTCCGTTAAGTGGGCCAGGGACCGATCTATATAACAAATAGGATATTTTTCCCCGGGAAGTGGACCAGGGACCAATCTATTCGAAAAAAACCTGTTTATGTTCCGATTTGCTTGAAATGTGGTGCGTAGGTAGCCTTTTGCTTAGATTAGCATACAGGATCCATTTTTTCCCCTTAAGTGGACCAGTAACCGATCTATTCCAAAAAATCTTGTTAATGGTCCAATTTGCTTGAAATCCGATACCCGTATTATAGATATGCGCAGTTCGAAAGGTGTTTGAAGGCGCCGCAAACATGCGGGTATTGGTTATTTAACAATATGCAGCAAATGTTGACAATATTTTTGACAGATTTTTTGTGCTGATTACAAATCCGTTAAAAACAGCTTTAACATTTTCCGCATCAAAATCGGTGTTTCCCTGTGTGACCTACACTAATTATATAGAGAGGAGCTCCTTCTTTTTATAAGAGGTGATCTCGCGAACGGCTGTATCGATTTTTTGTTTAATTTTAGTCACCTACTGCAGACTATCGATATATTAAAAGAGCGTGGCATCACGGAACCCGCGGGACCTACGGTACTGATTTCAAATTGGCCGGGATAGGCGGTATCGGTAAGGTCTGTAAAATTTTGCGTGCGGGACGGGACCAAAATCCTTTCCCGACACTACCGATAAAACCGCAACCTTCCTTATACTATGTCTCCATTGAGAGATTTATCCATTAAGATTTAATAAATCCAGTTGCTAAATCACAACCGTCTCCATTACCATTACGAAATATGTTTGACGTTCACATTTTTAAATATTTGACGTTTGCTTATGTATGATTTTACAAACACAGTTGCGGACATTGATATACAGACAGGTAAAAGGAAGGTACCAAGCGGAAATTCATTATATGAATTCTGAATATTATTGGCTTCTTATTCGTGATAAATATGTATGTATAATATATAGTTTGGAAAGTGTAAAGAATGGTACCATATTCCGAATCATTTTCCCGAATTTAAGAAAAATTATCAAAACGGTAAAAAACATTTGCGGAAAGAAAAATGTTTGTAGAACTCTCTTATTCATAGGAGGGAACCGAAAATCCAATCGTGGGCCTTTGGCATATCATGAATACGAACTGAGTTCTAGAGGATGTTCGGTGCAATGTTATCGAAGCAGAACCATTACCGAAATTTATAAATTTTTTGTCGCAGCGCGTAAATGACTTATAGAAAGCGGAGAAGACTCTGCATGATATTACTATAAAATATTTCTTCTACATTTTTAGTTTTTAAAATAATAATTTCTTAATTTATTACAACCAAAGTTATGTAAATATGTATTACCAATTTTCCTCCCAAACTAACAAAAAAATATAAAAATCCCTAAAAATACGAAAATTCATGTTTTTATGATAGGCTAGATTTCAATGTCCTCAACTGTATATTGAAAACACAAATGTCATTTGACTTATGGCATGTGAATTTGTGGTTGCCACATCCAACAAATTGTACTTATTGATCAATATTATTGAAGATTTGACGAAAATTTAACTTAAATCTACTGCCTTTCGAGATTTAATTTTATATGATAAATCTCAAAAGATTTAACGTCAAATCTCGTCAGAGGGCTAAATCTCCATGAAATCTCACAATGGAGACATAGTATTAGAAACGATGTGTGAAATATGCACCTTTTTTGTTTTATCGGGACGAAAACGAACAGCAAAGCAAAACAAAATAATCGGAAGATGCCACGTCTTTCATTAGTTTTTTTGTTATTTAAAATTAATTTGAAAGACATGTGAATTAGTGATAGATTTCGGGACCCACGGGACCCGCGGTACAATTCTAAAAAACGTCGGGATGGACGGGTTCGGGTCTTAAAAATTGAATTTCGGGGTGGGCGGGATCGGGACCAAATATTTAGTCACGTGCCCATCTCTATACCGAATATCTCTGGAAGTATTTGTGGTAGTGTCCTGGAAATTTGTGTAGAGATTTTTGGGCTACTGGAAAAGAAGGCGTGGCGCTTTCCAAATATATTGAAACTTTTACTTATCTGTAAATATATACACCCAGAATATAGTGTTTTTTATACCTTTCATGAGCATGAAATGGTATTATAACTTTGGTCCGATGTTTGTAAGTACCAGAACAAAAAGAGATAGACCCATTAAAATGTATACTTATATGATCAGAACGTCGAGCTGAGTTGATTTATCCATGTCCGTCTGTCCGTCTGTCCGTCTGTCTGTCTGTTTGTATGCAATCTAGTCTCTCAGTTTTCGAGATATCCGGATCAAATTTGGTAGGTGGGTGTATTTTTATAATGTATTAATCATTTGTCGGAACCGGAAGAATCGGACCGCTATAACATATAGCTCCCATACAACTGATTGTTCAGATATGAGATTTTTCGTTATAACTTCTCCATTTATGCAGCTACGAACATGAAATTTTGCAGCACTTGCACCCATTATCAACAGAATGCTTACAGTGAAAATTACAAAGATCGGGTCACTATAACCTATAGCTCCCATACAACTGATTGTTCAGATATAAAATTTTCCGTTATAACTCCTCCATTTATATAGCTGGGAACAGGAAATTCCGCAATGTTTTCAATAATTATCAACAGAAAACTTACAGTGAAAATTAAAAAGATCGGATAACTATAACCTATAGCTCCCATACAACTGATTGTTCAGATATGAGATTTTTCGTTATAATTCATCCATTTATTTAGCTAGGACCGTCACGTCACGTTTCACACTTGGGGTTGTAAAAGAGAATTGAAACAATTTGCATTAATTCAAAAAACTCTAAAAACAACTACAATTGCTCCAAATCATATTAAAATAAGTTTTATGAAAATAGCCATACACAATTCGCAGAGTTTTGCGATTTTGTAAGAAAAGAAAAAATCAACTTCCATTTTTTGTCACGTAACGAACCTCTCTTTAAATGCATATATTTCAGGACCAAGCAGTTCGATTGATTTCATTTTTCGGTTAAATATAGAGCTAATTATGTGCTATACAATGGCCCAAAAAAGTTAAAGAAAACAAATGGTATTCCTTTTTTGTATCACATTGAAATCGTACGACTGTCACGTGCGCCACCATGGGAATGCCCATTTGTGATCCGATTTGACTCATATTCGAGATATATATGTATTGGTAACGATAGGGGCAAAGATGGCGCTGGGGCCGAGTTATTGCCAAAAATCATCAATTCGGAGGCACCAGGGATCAAAATCAAATTATCCCCTTTAAATCAACCCTCAGAACCACTTCGGTCCTTACTTTACGGTGACTAAACAGAAAGTGGACCAGTGATACTCACCAGTTTGGAAATTGCCACCAACTATACTATACAGATTCAAGCACAATTCACCATCGAGCCGCAACGCTTTCGTCAGGTAATTTAAGATGGCAATGGAGGATATGCCTTCTGTCGACCATGAACGTGAATTGCTGGCGAAAGCTTGGACCAAATGTTTCAATAAAAAAAAAAATTTTGGCGGAACGAAGTCCGCCGATTCTGCTAGCTGTTTTATAAAAATATATATAGTTCAATCAATAGCAGTTTTGTACTTTGGCTTATATTCTTTCATATAAAAAAAATTTAGTTCTTGCGCAATACCCTCGGCACCAAAAAAAAGGAAAATTGATACTTGCGCCTTATTATATTAAAATTTAATGGGCTAAAAAACTGCATACTAAAAATTTGTCTAAGAAAAAACAATTGAAAAATTGACAATTTCGATGAAAGTATCTTAGTATTTCTTGAATTTTCCTGAGTTCTGTATGATGTTAAAAAAAATCTTGTAATTTTTACTGTTGAATTAACTATATTTTTATAAAAAAAAATTAGAAAAATTTTGTATGGGAAATTTGAATAAATAAAATCGTCAAAACGTCAACTTCCAACTACTAACTAAACTTACTTTATGTAACACATCTCCCTTTCGAGGACTAGGTCTTGGGTTTAGTGGACCTCTATAGATATGTCCAACTCTCGAGCAAGGCGCATCCACAAGCTCTCCACC